ACTGAGGCATACATTTAGGGAACATGTGGAACTGAAAGTAGCTCACAACCCTGTTAGAAAATTTGAAACAAAAGTCTACTACATGAGTGTGTGAAGGAAAGCCTTTATTACGCTTCTTTCGAGAAGCAGGCATACCGCTCTCTAGGACAGCACATGTGCGCCGGTACAGAAGCAGAGTCAACTTTTAAATGGTTAGTAAAGTCCATACTCCTCCTATTTGAGCTGGGATTCAACCACCTCATTTGGGTTACACTCTTCCTGAGTCCATGTTACTCTTTGTCATGTTCACCCCCCTGGTCATATGCCCCATTTTCAAAAATGGCAACTATCTCTGCCCTTGGGGTATGTCAGTTGATATTCAATAAGCTCATTACACAAGCTGTGGATTAAAGCCTTTGCTCAGTTCTTGACCCTGACCAGTCTTAAGGAAGTAGTGGTTTTGCAGAGTGTTAGGGGCGCTTTCTCATTGGTTGAGGGACCATCCACGAGATCTTGAAAGTTCCCCTCAGAATTTCCATGTTTTGCTGTGGAAGCCTAACTTCTAAATCTTTCCCACAGCCCTTTGCCTAGACATCCTTTTCTCCCTTCTAGAAGTCCTCACCAAATGCACTCTTGTATGAGATATTAATAGTGGTCGAATTTTTCCCTAACTTGCCCGGGCTAGTTCTTTATAGAACCCAATGTAAATCCACTGCTGGGCTGGATCAAACAGATCACACCTCAGGGCTGGCTCCTTACCAGACTCGGCTATTGCTCCTCCCAGCTCTACTGGTCTCTGCTATGGACTTTATCTGCTGAGGGGACCTCTGATGGCTCTTCTAATCTTTCAAAGCTTGATTTAGATATAAAGGCTGATACTACAAGCAAACTGGAGAGCAAGGAATGGTTTATCTGTCAGATCAATGGAGAACAGAAGAATTTGTGACTAAATAAGAGAGAACATTATGAAATACAAAATGGATAATTTTGATTACATTAAATTGAAATGTTTTTGCACAAACAAAGCCAATGCAACCAAGATTAGGAGGGAAGCAGAAAATTGAGTAAGAATTTTTACAACTAGTGTCTCTGATAAAGGCTTCATATCTAAAATATATAGAGAACTGAATCAAATTTGTAAGATTACAAGTCATTTCCCAATTGATAAATGATCAAAGGATATGAATAGGCAGTTTTCAGATGAAGAAATTAAAGCCATCGATAGTCATATGATAAAATGCTCTAAATCACTATTGATTAGAGAAATGCAAATCAAAACGACTCTGAGGTACCACATCACACCTATCAGATTGGCTAACATGACAAAACAGGAAAATTACAAATGCTGGAGAAGATGTAGGAAAATTGGAACATTAATGCATTGTTGGTAGAGTTGTGAACTGATCCAACCATTATGGAGAGCAATTAGAAACTATGCCCGAAGGGCTATAAAAATGTGCATACCCTTTGACCCAACAATACCATTTCTAGGGTTGTATCACAAAGAGATCATAAAAATGGGGGAAAAAACTTACATGTACAAAAATATTTATAGTAGCTCTTTTTGTGTTGGACAAGAATTGGAAATTGAGGGGATGCCCATCAGTTGGAGAATGGCTGAACAAATTGTGGTATATGAATGTAATGGAATGCTATTGTGCTGTAAGAAGTGATGAGCAGGTAGACTTCAGAAAAATCTGGAAGGATTTATACGAACTGATGCTGAGTGAAGTGAGCAGAACAAGGAAAACATTGTACACGGTAACATCCACATTGTGTGATGACTGACTTTGATAGACTTGGCTTTTCTCAGCAACGCAAGGATCTAAAACAATTCCAAAAAACTCATGATGGAAAATGCTATCCACATCCAGAGAAAGAACTATGGAATCTGAATGCAAATAAAAGCATACTATTTGCTCTCTCTCTCTCTCTCTTTCTCTTTGTTTCTTCCTTCTTGTGGTTCCTCCCATTCATTCTAATTCTTTACAATATGACTAATGTGAAAATATGTTTAATAAGAATGTATATGTCGAGCCTATATCAGATTGCATGCCGCCTTGGGGAGGGAGGAGGGGAGAGAGGCAGAGAAAATTTAAAACTCAAAAGCTTATGGAAGTGAATTTAAAAACTATAAATAAATAAATTTTAATATTAAAAAAAGAAAAGAAAATGAAGGATGAACAACAATAATTTATTCACATAAGATCAAACAAGAACAAAATGAAAGAAATAGGCACCATGTATAGGGACACATGGTAGCCAGGTGGGAGATAAGTCAGCCTTGCTCCTCCCTCACCTGGAACCTTCCAACAATCTTCCTCCCTGGAAATCCACTAGGGAAGAAAATGAAAGAGTAACTTGAATCTTTTGTATGCACAATAAGTTCTGTCTGAGCACCCAGTTAAAAGACTTTACTTCACCACATATGATACTTGTATATGCTCTGGGACTGCATAGAAATAGGTTCACTAAGCAGGAACCAGACAAGGTATATATTTCTCATGCTTCAAGGACTACCCTCAATCATCACGTCTCCATTTGAAAAATGTTCATATCCTTTGACAATTTACCTATTGGAATGACTCTTATTCCTATATATTTGTAGTAATTTCATATATATTTTGAATATTAGACCTTTATCAGAGATAATTGCTGTAAAGATTTTTTTCTCAGCTAACTACTACTCTTCTAACTGCATTGATTTTGCTTGTGCTAAAGCATTTTAAATTTCAACATAATTATCCCTTTAATCTATAATCATCTCTATCCCCTGTTTAAGAATCCTCTGCCTATTCATAGTTATGAAAGCTACCTCCTTCCCTACCTGCAGACTCCTTACTGAGACTTAGATTATATGACGAGATACCTATGAAGACATGAAACTTCCAGGGTTTCTAGTTTCTGATCTGTCTCCAGAAATGGGGAGGGAAAAAAAGACAATGGGCAACCAGCAGCTAGAGGTGAAGGACTCCCTCTCTTAGGCTTACCATATGCCTCTCCTGCAAATCACATGACTGCTCTGGGGTTAGGAAGAAGGGGAAAATCTCCCCTTTCTCACCCTTTTCTGTACTTTCATCTAAAAGTCCAATAGAGAGAGAATACATGAAGACGGTACTAAACTTGTTTTTATAGACCATAGGAAAAAGATGGCTCCTTTAACAAGGGTTAATAGCCTCTTACTCTTAGTTGCCCCATTCATCTCTCTGCCCATCACATGTAATCAGGGATGTCTTAGTGCTAGCTCAGTGTGATCATTTACACTTCAGAAATTGGCAAACTATGAATCAGGGCTTGATTTATTATTTATTGATTGTCTAGACTTAAGAGAGTGACAGAGAAAATGTTTATAATACATATGTGTTTTGGAGAGCTAGTTGTTAAACATTTACCAAGACACTCGTGCATGGAGCTCATCAGAGGAGTTCTCTGCATTTTTTCAGCCAGATGCCAATCTAACAGAAGTCCATGATTTATAATCTCATCAAGGGAAGTTACAAATTTATCAGAGGCTCCCTACATTAACTCCCCTCACACTAATAAATACAAGATCTGTACCAAATAAATGCAAAGTAATTGGGGATAGGGAGCTAACAACTGGGAAAATTAGGAAAAGTCTCTTATAGAGATGGCACTTGAGCTGAACCTTGAAGAGAGCTAATGGTCCCAAGAGGTGGAGGTGACCCTTCACTCAGTAGGAAAGAGTACAGGACCTAGAGTCAGAAAGGCCTGAGTTTGAATCTTTCTTTAAACATGTATTTGCTATATTGTCCTGGGCAGGTCACTTAATCTTTCTGGGTCTAAGTTTCCTCATCTATAATGTGAGGGCATTGGAATTGATGACCTTTAAAGCTCCTTCCAGCTCTAAATCTATGATCTTATTATTCTGTTTCCTCATTTATAAGATGATGATAATATTCTACAGTATCTATCTTACAAGGCTTGTGTGAGGTTCAGATAAGATAATGCATACAAAGCCTTTTCAAAATTTGAACTGCTTGTACTATATGAAGGCGAGAAGCTTTATGCATTATCTTGATGTCTGATAACATGGTGTTTTTTTTTATTAACATCTACCCAATTCCTGAGAAATTCTTTTGCATGAGTATAATAACTTGCTTCTAATTTGCATGAGTACAATGACTTCCTTCAAAGGAATAACTCTCTAATGGGGGAATTTCAGGCATATTGATAGGCTTTGGGGGAGAAGGGAAGTTATATTCTATTATGTATATGTGTGTATACATACATACAAACATATACACACATATACTAGGATGCAAATCCTACTTCTGTTTGTATATTTATATCTATATATGTATATATGTATGTGTATATACATATATATATGATCTTTCATTTATATAGGTCTTATATATGTACCATACACACATATATGCTCTGTGACTATAAAATGTTTTATTGATGGTCTTTTTATGTTATATGTTTATATGAAATACATGTGTATAAATGTACATATATTGACATATATATGACCAATAAAACATTTTAAATAGTCACAGAGCATATGTGTGTATATGTGTGTGTGTGTGTGTGTGTGTGTGTGTGTGTGTGTATGCTTTATGGTTGTTGTTCAGTCATTTCAGTGGTATTTGACTCTTCATAACTGCATTTGGGTTTGGTTTTTTTTTTGGCAAAAATACTTGAATGATTTGCCATTTCCTTTTCCAGCTCATTTTATAGATGAAGAAATTGAGACAAATAGAGTTGTGACCTACCTAGGGTCACACAGCTGGTAAGTGCCTGAGGTCCACCTAGCTGCCCCAACTATCCCCACTGTGGAGAAGCATTAAATTAGCAGGTACACATTCTGGTCGCCTTACTCAGGAAGGACAATCACGCACATGCCCTCCTCAACCCCAGTTGCACTTACAGTATTTGACTTGTGAAAGCTCTGAAAAACCATCTCAGGTATTGGAAGTTGGTGTTTTTAATGGATAAATTTTGCTTTAACACAGAGTACAAATCCCCACAAACTTGTTGTTGTTGTTTTTTAAAAGGATGTACAAGGATGTAGACAAGTAATGACTGCAAATACACTTGAACAAATTCTGATTCTCTCCTGGTGCCAACTGAAAGTATAAGTGATATATGAAAGTGATATTGACCGGAAACATATTGCAGGATAAAGACCAAATTAAAACTGGTGAGTTCAACTTTAGTCACTGCACACTCTTACTGTTCAGAGGTCAGAGGCGAGTGATGATTCAGTCAAGCCTTGGCTATAAAATACTTCCCCCCCACAACTTAAAAGATAAGAAACTAAGAATAACACAATGTGGTAGAAACAGCAGTGGACTCGTAGCCAGGAGACCTGAGTTTGAATATTTGTACTGCCACTTACTAGTTCTTTACCTCTCAGGACTTCAGTCTCTAGTCTATAGAATGGGAGGGTTGAATTTGATGACCTGCAAGGTCCCTTCTAGCTCAGACATGAGCTATAGTTTATATAGCTCAGTCTATAATATGTCTAAATATAGAAATGTCTAAATATAATATGTCTAAAATACAGAAAGTGGTTTTAAAGAATGAAATCCCTTGTCTTTCAGTAATCAATGCCCATTTGTTATAGATCATATTCTAGTGCATGGAGGGTTCTAGAAGATGAAACTTAGCCTTTTAAAAGCAGTTGATTTACATTTAATTTATTTGAGACTATTTCTCCACCCACTCTTCTCAATAGTCAGTTATTAAGACCTTATTAAGCACCCATTATATGCTAGACACTGTGCCAAGTGCTGGGATACAAAGAAAAACAAAAGACAATCCCTGCTCTCAAGGAGTTCATATCCTAATGGGGGAGAGAAAATGCAAACAACTAGGTACAAACAAGCTATATGTAGGATAAACTGGAGATAATCAACAGTAGGATAGTATTAGCATTAAGGGAGGATCAGGAAAAGCTTCTTGTAGAAGGTAGGATTTTACCTGGGACTGGAAGGGAGTTAGGGAGGCAGAGATTAGTGAAAATGCCTTAGAGGTGAAGTGTCTTGTTTGAGGAACAGCAGGGTGGTCAGTGTCACTGAATCTAGGAGTATGTGGGGGTATGGGTGGAAGGGGCAGGGGGAGAAAGATGAAAGAAGACTGCCAAGAGCTCTTTCTGTGGTAGCAAAGAATTGGAAACTGAGAGGATGCCCATCAATTGAGGGATGGTGGAACAAGTTACGAATGTGATGGAATACTATTGTGTTGTAAGAAAGGATGAAGGTGATAGTTTCAGAAAAGCTGGGGAAAACTTGTATGAACTGATGCAGAGTGAAGTGAGCAGAGCCAGGAGGACAATTGATTTAATAACAATAATATTGTAAAGACAATCAACTCTGAAAGACTTAGGAACTCTGATCAACAAAATGACCAACCACAATTCTAAAGGACTTGTGGTGAAACATGCTATCCACCACCAGATAGAGAAGTGATAAACTCAGAGTACAGATTAAAGCTCCTCTCCTTTCCCCTTCCCTTCCTTCCTTCCTTCCTTCCTTCCTTCCTTCCTTCCTTCCTTCTCCTTCTCCTCCTCCTCCTCCTCCTCCTCTTCCTTCTTCTTCTTCTTCTTCTTCTTCTTCTTCTTCTTCTTCTTCTTCTGCTCCTCCTCCTCCTCCTCTTCCACCTCCTATTCTTCCTTCTTCTATGTGGAAAGACTACTGTTTCTGTAGTCAGACAACAGTCCCACTTCTGCTACTTAGTACCTTTGTCATTTGGGGCAGGTCACAGCACCCCTAGCCTCCAGTTTTCTTATTTGTGAAATGAGAATGTTGGACTGGATGGCCTGTGAAATCCCTTCTAGATACATGATCCTATAAATGTGCCTCTACTTTTATTCTTACCACTAAAATGAAAGATTTTCTTTTTTTCAAAATTTGTCTTTTTCAGGTATAAAAATAACCAATGGCTCTCTTCCTGAATCTTCAGACAGTATTTCTGTTGGCACTGATGCATTTTAGCACATACAGAACAGGTAAAGGTAAGGAAATGGAATGAAGATTTAACTTTAAAGAATAGAAAGATACACTGAGAACAAAAGGCAAATACAGGAAATTTGGTGCCTACTACCAGATTGTTTATCATTAATTTTTTTCACTTCTATCGCATTATTTTTGTTGGCTTTAGAAGAATCTTAGATCTTTATGGTTCACTTAGGAAATTCCTTCGTGTGGATGGGCAGATCCTACCATTGGGCTTGCTTCAGTTTGAATCCATCAGCTTCATGCCTTTTTCTTTTTGGTGATTTAATTCTAATGTGTTGTAACTTTTTCCATATCTGCTACTCATTCATTATTGTCAATAATCATAATATTTTCCTTAGAGCTGATGTTTGTAAAGAGCTTTATGTTTTTACAGAGAGTTGTCTTATACAGCATTGTGTTTGGCTCTTACTACCCTGTGAGGTAAGGTAAGTAGTGCAAATAGCATCAAAGGAAACTAGCTTTAGAGCTGGGAGAGACCACAGAGTTCATGTAGTCCCATTCCTTCTTGTTACTTCATTTTTTCCCAACTCCTTTATTTTCCTTTTTTCATCATTGCACTTTCAGTTTTATTGATGTGTTTTGTTTTTACATGGCATTTACAGATTATTCACACTTCATGAGAGCTCTCTTGTAATGAAGTAAAACTGATAAGTAACACTGATAAAAATTACTTCATTTGGAAGCGCATGGAACATTTCAAATCTGTAGTACTTCTCCATTTAAAAAAAATGAACAGAAATCTATTTTTTCCTTCTCCCATCCCCTACCCCATTGAAGAAGAAAAAAAATCATATAACAAGTACATATAGTCAAACAAAACAAATTCTCTCAGTGGTTACACACAAACATACACATATACATATACACAGGTGTGTGTCTCATTCTGTACCCTAAATCTAACACTCTTATATGAGGGGTAGTATGTTTCACTCAGTCCTCTGGAATTGTGAATGGATATTGTGTTGAACAGAGTTCTTACATTCAAAGTTGTATTTTTACAGTGTTGTTGACATATAAATGGATCCAATTCTACTCATTTCATTCTTCATTCATATATTTAAAACCTCAGAATTGCTCATTTTTATAATATTGGCATTATGAATCATTCTTCTGGTTCTGCTCTCTTCACTTTGCATCCATTCATGAAAATCTTTCCACATGCTTTTGAAATCATCTCTTCCCTCATTTCTTACAGCATAATTTCACGGAGGACAAAACTAGACCCAGTGAGGTGTGTAGTAACTTGTCCAGGGTTACATTTTTTTCCACGCTGCCAATTCTCATACCTATTTTATGGATGAGGAAACTAAGAATTAGGGAAGTAAAATGACTTGCCCATATAGCTTGAATGAGATAGAAACATGACTCCAGCTCAAGTCTTTGGATTTCAAACTGCAGACCTCATTCTACTACGCCATATTGAACATCAGATAGCATCATCAATCATCATCCATTTTTCTGGGTGAAGACAAGCAATCTTTCAGTAGCCATGAGTTTATTTTGTACTTCAAATTGTACTAGTTCAGCTTTTTGCTACTTTACTTTAAACTGCTGAAAATGATAATGGACAGACGTATTTGCCTCTTCCCCTGTGCTTCTCAAGCAATGGTTTTCTTTGAAAATCCTTGCAAATGGACACAAAAATTAGCCATACCCAAATGTTATGTAAAGTGTGGATAGTGCTTTAATTGGCCTTGTACAGATTTTTTTTTTGGACTTGATAATTTATATAACTTCATCAAGTTTGCCTTGTTCTCAAGCTTGCTGGTTACAGGTCTCCTTTCTGTTTAGTCTAGCCCATTATTTCTCATATGATTAAACCAAGGAAACACAAATAAGTGGTTTTTGGGGCAAAGGAGACACAGGATGTCCTTCCAGAAGTCTATGCAAAAGAAGCAGACTTGATTAAAGCACCATTTAAATACCCCTCCTGATTTTCCTTTCTCTGGATAGATTTCTCATATCCCCTGGTGACACAAGAATATTACTCTTCATGGCTTCTTGGTGCTGGTGGTCCCACTGGAAGCTTTTGGCGCAGTTTGTGACTGAGAACAGGAGTTGGAATTTCTAACTCGAATTATGAATGTCCCATGTCCTAACACCTAGAATACACCTCTCCTTATCTATTGCAGGTACTTTTTTTTGAGGACTAAGTGATTTCTGCAGAAGGAACAAACTGAGCAGGAATGCTAAAAGCATAAGCCTTCATTTGTTGCTTTTTAACTCACACAAGGGGAGATTTGTGAGATAAGGGAGGACTGGGGAGCCAAGGCCATATCTGAATCACATCCCCAAGAGAGATGAAGATACAGTCAGTTCTCTGGAAGGTCAAGATACACTTGTAACCCAGCCAGCAGCAGTTGTGGCTGAGTTACAAGTAGGGGTGAAGAGGAGAGGTCTGGGCCTCAAGTAAAATGTTCCTCAGGCCCCACCAGGCAGAACTGGATGGATGATTTAAAGTCTGACAACTTTCCTGGTACAGTGCGCAGGTTGTGCCAGGCTCTTGTCCGACCTCCTGCTTTTGTGAAGACACACCCAGATTGGTCCACACAACAGAATTGTGCCTGGGATATGCAAAAGAGGGAGGGGGTCTAGGAATAGATGAGATTTCTAAGCAGGAGCATAGCATCAGTTTCCTACCTCTGATCAGACAGGCTTAAAGGGGCTAATTATCATCAAGTCAAGGCGTTTCTAATACAGAAGATTCCAAACAAAAGAAAGAGAGGTTGGGGGTGGGGTGGGGGAGAAAGGGTCCAAAGAAAGGGCAGACAAGGTGAAAGGTGTGTGGGGGGGGTGAGTAGAACAAAGAGTGCTTCTCAAAAGAAAGGTTGGGTCCAAGAAACCATATTTTTTTGGACTATGACAGCACCCCAACCACAATTGTGATCATCTGTAGCTTTACCAGAGTTACTGCTATCCAGTTTCCAATTCCCAAATGTAGTTGAGAAGTCCACATAAGAAATTTCTTGCCAGGTTTTTGGTACTTGAAACTTCTGAGAGGATCACATATTAGCCGAATGCTAAATGCTAATTATCAGCTGTTAATGTCCACGTACAGCACTGTGCTGGCCATATATGTGCTGTGAGCACAGGAATTTAATCCAGGGTCCAGTCTGGGTATCTGTATAATAATGTCATTATTGGTGGAGAAAATGAATACTCCATGTGTGAGAGGTGAAGTTGTTGAGAAAAATATTTCCTTTCTCAAGCTCTCACCAACTACCTCATATTTCTTTCTTAGTAAGTAATACTTAGCTTTTTATAGTTTACTTCTGAGTGACCTATGCAAGTTAATCACAGAACTATGGTAATACAAAAAAAGTATTGTTTTCTGGACCTAGCCTATCTTTAGATAGGCTGTCTTTGCTCTAGATACACCCTTCCTCCCACCTGCCTGTTCTTTAGAAATACCACCCTTTCTCCTTTTCCCTACTGGAAACTTTCAGCCTCAGTAATAATTGACATCTCCTAGTCTGTGGGATCCAAGGTGGGAAGCCAATCAAATGCTCCTGCTAGAGACCCCACCTATTTTTTATTGTCCTCTTGTCTTCATTATATCTTCCTCCCATTAGAACCTAAAACTGATATTGTCTCAGGTCCAAATGATGAAATGTGCTTGTCCAAGAATACCTTCTTGCTTAACATATCCTTAATTAACACTTGCTGAATGAAAGACACTACGGAGAATGAAAGACAAGTATGGGGCTGAACCATGTCCCAGTAGTTCTGGGATGCCACAGGGTTCAGCGCCCTTCTTGCCAGGAAGTTACAGTCTGTTCTGTAGGCTTGCAGGTACTTGTTTACTAGACTCTGAAGGGCTTTAGGAGAAACCTTAGTATCACAGTATCATGGCCCCTGTTTTCACTGGTCATACTGACCATGATGCTGTGGGTAAAAAAAAAATGCTGTTCTCCAATACTGCACAAGGAAAGAGTTTCTTTGTTTTCTAGAGACACCACTGGTTGAATTTTAATTGCAGTTTTGGTAGACAAGTTTATTTGGCAACATGCCTGGGTTTTGTGAGAGGATGAGTGATAGAGTTTGGGCTAAGCCAAAAAATTGGAGAGACTTCCTTCCCAATGAGAGCCCTCCTTTGTACTAACCAACCCTCTTTGTTCAGCACCAATCACAAGCCTGAGGATTTACAGCTAGTTGTCTGAGGGAGTGTTTTATAGGATAAAAACACTTGGCTGAAAAAAAAAACTACCATAGGTTGGTATTTATGGTCAGATCATTGAAGTTTGGCCAGGTTGCTTTTATTCAAACCCTTAGCCCATCCATTTGCTGATTTTTTTCAGGAAGAGAACCCTTTCTTTTAGGGTGATATATAGCTATAGTAAGGCATCTTGACCGATGGAACTGTGAGGTCTTAATGGAATATTCCTGAATGTTATTTTATAAGAAAAAACTGCTCCTCAGGGTTTTATTTTTGCACCCCTTGGTGTTGGACACATGCCTTGAAATAAATCTGATTGTTTTATTCCTTTTTTGAGAGTTTCAGTACATTATTTTCTTGGTAGCCTTAAGTTGCAAGCATAATTCACTAAATTTCTAAAAAAGAAAATCAGTGAGTTAATATATTTTAAACAACTTCTATGAATGAGGTTTAACACTGCACTTTAAGTAGGCTGGACTCAGCAGGCTCAGTTCAAGTTTATTATATTATCAATCACTGTTCCCTTCCCCTTTTCAATTTCCTTTTATGTGTTGTCTTACTTCATTCGATTGTAAGTTCCTTAAGGGAAGGAAATGTCTTTCTTTTTTTGTATTTCAGCACTCAGTGTCTAGCACATATGTGTCTAACACATATTTGCTGACTGACTGATTGACTTATCCATTGCCAAACTATTGAAGGAGTCCTCACTCTGCTGCTCTTGTGATCCAGTACAAATTTAGTGACTATACTTCTGAACTTAAAATTGGGATGTATGGTCTGATAAAGGATATTAATGAAGGTTTAGTGAAAAGGCCATTAGGTTTGGGGTCCAAGGACTTTAAGTATTTGAAGATTTGTCTTGGGGAAAGAGGTATTAAGCTTGATCTGCTTGGCCCCAGAGCAAAGAGTTAGGAACAATAAGTGAACATTGAAATGAAGCAACTTTGGGGTTTGATGTAAGGAAAACAAATGGACAGGTTATCCAAAAGTGGTCTTCCTTGAAGGATAGTGAGCTCTCTCTCACTCTATATCTTCAGGCAGGAGCTGGATACCCACTTACTGGTGTTGTTGTGGAGGGGATTCCTATACAGGTGTAGTTGGACTACATGGCCACTGAGGTCTCTTCTAGATCTAAAATTCTGTGATGCTGTGGCTGATTGATGAGACTACCATGAATGGATGGATGGAAAACCTCCATAATGGCCTTTTGGTAGTCCAACACACAAGAGACAATCTGGGATGGAAAGTGTGAGGAATGTTGTGGAGAATGTGTGAACTGCTTGGCTATTGACCTGCCAGTAAGGGAACAGTCTAGGAGAAAATTGTGAAAGGGGGTGAATATGTAGTGCCTTTATTGATGGTTAGTCCTTACTGTTGAATCTTATTCTCTTGACTTGTTTGACACTGTTCTCTCCTGATTCTTTTCCTACTTGTCTGACTACTTTTTTGCAATGTCTATCCATCTCCTACCCTTTTGGCTTGAGTATTCTCTCATGATTGGGTTCTTCTCTCATGATCTCATCAGTTCTTGCTATCATTTCTATGTATATGAATCTTAAATCTATTTGTCAATCCCTGGTTTCTTGCCAGAATTCCAATCTCATAGCACCAGATGCCTGCTGGATTTTTTTTTTAACCAAAGTGTCCCATCAGTATTTGAAATCCAACATTTTTGAAATAATCTTTCCTCCTAAACCTGCCACTCTTCCAAAATTGCCTCATGTTGAAAGCAACACTATTTTCCTAGTTCAGAATAACCCTCGCCTCTTCTCTCTCCCTCACCTTTCCTATTCTTGTCAATTATATCTCTAGGATACGGCACAGTGGAGAGAGTGCTGGATCTGGAGTCAACATGGGAAAGACTAGGCTATTTTCCAGTGTCTGACTCCTACTCTTCCATCCCACTAGATGGATGAGAAGAAAACAACTTCAATCCTATTTTTAACATTTACTCCCTACATGACCTTAAGTAAATTGCATAGTTTGCTGGGCCTCAGTTTCCTCAACTATAAAATAAGGGAATTGGTTTAGATGCTCTCTAAAATCTATTCCAACTGGGTCCTATATCAGTGCCTATAGCACTGATAGTTTGTACCATACCACTTGATCTTGCAGTCTTTTATGATTCTCTGGTGTTTTTTTTTTTGCACTAGTTTCATTTCCCCAGCTGGAACACCTTTTCTTATCCTTATTTTATATCTCTCACAATGCCTAGGTTAGTGCTGGATACTTAGGAGATGATTAGTAACTTTTTGATTGATAGAGGTGTTAAGTCTGTTGCAATGATCTATGTGTTGACACTTAGAAGCTGCTAGGACTATTATTATAAGTGGAAGGAGACTTACGAATCATCTAGTACAACCCCTTCAGTTTACAGATAAGGAAACTGAGGATCAGGGAAGTGGAAGAAGAAATGTCTAAAGAAGTTAGTAAGTAGCAGAGCTGGGATTTAAATCCAGTCCCTTTGACTGCAAATCCCATGCTTTTTCCACCAAACTGCACTACCTTGGGATACGTCCTCATTTCATATTTCTTTAAAACCTGTAAAGTGCTAACTTCTAACAAAAAAAAAAGAATTTCCAATTTTTTTCCTCCCAAAAGCATGAAATAGTATTAATGATTGCACTTTCCTAGTTATTAGTCTTTCTTGCTCCCAATTCCCAAAACAACTGGAGTTTGCCCCCCAAAGGATCCTTTTGTGCAGTTTCATTGTTTTTCAGTTTTAAGAACTGAGCACTTATTTCTTATAAGAACAAGTAAATGAGGTGGATGGTTTAATCTTGCCAGTGCAAGAAATAGTCAATTTAATTTGTGCAACTATTTATACATGCCTGAGTAATGATTTTTCCATAACTCACTTCTGTCTTTCAGGATCATCTGAGTATTTAGTATATCCTCCTGAATCTATTAATGTTTCCATCCGTTCTGATGAACAGTGCTTGGATATACAATGGACTGTTCACCTACATAATTATACGTTGAATTTAAAAATGATTTTCCAAATAGACATCTACAGAAGTACATTATCCAACACTGTTGAGAATGTAAGTATTTTTAAATGGTATTTTTTTCTATCATTGGTGGGAGAAAGCATTCTGGCATGTTTTGTACAGCTCACATTCATTTTGACATTTTCACTATAAATGAAACCATGGAATGAAGGAAGTTTCAGCTAAATGCAAGAATGACTCACAGGTGTTCCTGGCAGGGGAAAGTGAAGGAGTTGGGAGATTTTATCTTATCTGCACTCGAAGGCAACAAGAACTATCTCATGAGATGCTTGATTATTTGCCCTTGCAGTGTTCATCACCAGCACTTGTTTAAAAAAAAAAAAATAACAAGAAGAGAATTGCAATCTAAGTATCAACATCTGTTGGAGATAATGAAGAGGTAGAGAAATTCCATTAAGAACTTAAAAAGGTGCTTCAGACAGTCAGCATGTGCATTGATAAGAGGTGGCTTCATGGGGAATGAAAAAGATCTTTGGTAAAGCACAGAGAAGATGAAAAGATGGTAGGGCAGACATTGTCCTGATGTCTGAAGAGACAAGAGAGAAGGTAGAGTTTGTAAGCTATGAACTTGTGAGGTTGACTTCTGTTCTGGCAAAGTTCTAGAAGGTTCAAAGTTCTAGAAGGCATAGATAGAAGGCATAGCTAGTGAATAGTAAGAAAAAGAAACAGTGATCACAGACACCTAACATGTCAGCACCAATAACAAGTAGTGACAGATTGACTTAATTTGCTTTTTTGATAGCATAACTAAACTGGCAGAGCTGGGGAGAGGTGTTATAGGTGTAATTTACCTAAAATTCAAGAAGATATAAGAGACTTGTATACTATTATTGGGATGAGGAGAGGTATAGGCTCAATGATGGTTCAGTTAGGTGGACTCAAAACTGATTGAACTGAGTCAAGTCAATAAGCATTTATTAAGTACCTACTATGTGCCAGGCACTGCACTAAGTGCCAAGGATATAAAGAAAAAGGAAAAAAAACAGTTCCTGCCCTCAAGGAGCTCTAAGGGAGAGGGGACAGATGACACATAAGCAGCTATGTACTTACAAAATACATGGTAAATTGGAGGTAATCTCAAAGGAAAGCCACTTGAATTGAGGGGGATCAAAAATGTCTTCTTTGGAAAGGTAAATCTCACCTCGGTGAGATTTGAAGGAACCCAGAGGCAGAAATAATAAGAAAGAGCATCCTCGGAATGGAGAATAGCCAATTCTCCATGTGAAAAGCAGAGAGATGGGGTGGGGGGAGACAGAGTGTTGTGTGTAAGGGACAGTAAGGAACCTAGTGATGTTGGATGGGGAATAAAATATGAGAAGGCTAGAAAGGCAGGAAATGGTTAGATTATAAAGGGCTTTAAAAGCCAAACAGAGGATTTTTATGTTTTATTCTGGAGAGAATAGGGAGCCATTGGAATTTATTGGGAAGTGACATGGTCAGACCTGTACTACAGGAAAATCACTTTGGTAGCTGAGTGAAAGCTGGACTAGAGTGGGGAGAGATTTTGAGGCAGGGAGGCCAACTGGAAGGCTGTTGAAATAATTCAGGCTTGGAGTGATGAAGGCTGGCACCATAGCGGTCATCATGTCAGGGGAGAAAAAGGGCCATGTATGAGAGATACAAAGGCAAAATCAACAGGAATTTACAGCTGATTGGATATGGGGGGTGAGAGAGTGAGGAATTGAGGATGGCACATAGTTTCTGAATCTGGATGATTGAAGGTAACCATAAGGCACTACTAGTCTTTGTGCCTTTCATTGCCTGTCTCCCATGTCTATAATTTTTCATCTTTAGCTCTTAAAATTTCTCATTTCCTTCAAGATTCTGCTCAAGCACCACCTTTTTTGTGAAGTTTTTTCTGCTCCTCCAAGAAGCTAATATCTCTGCCCAGTAAACTTCTTTGAATATATTTTGTATGTATTTGAGACATTTGTATATGTATATGCCATTTCCCTGTTAGAATTTAAGTTTCTTGAGGACAAGGACTATTTCGCTTTCTTCTTTGTGTCCTTAGGGCTAAGCTTTTAATAAATGCATATTGATTGATTTTTAGAAGGGCTAAGAATAATCCCATATGAGCACAAAGGCTAGAAAAATCTCCTTCCATTCCCACTTGGATTATCTTCTTGAGCCCTGCTTGGATACTTTCATGACTCAATAATCTGGAATTATTCCCTTCACCAATGCAGAACCCACTCCATCCATGTCTCATTCAGTATGATTCTTGTTCATGCTTTTCTATTAATCTTCCCCAAAACGATCTTTCCAATATGCTGAAGGCCTTCCTCTTGTCCCTTTAATGTTTTTAGATACTCATACAGTCCGCGTTATCTCTCAGTAAATGAATGGCTTTTCCTGTTGTATAGATCTTTGATATCTTTTCCACTGTTTCTTGTACAGAAGTCATGGTAAGTAATATGAAACAGCCTACTCTACAGCATCTTGCCATTGTAAGGGACCTCAAAGGCCAGCTAATCTAACTAGGAATCCGGCAATGTATGACTGAATTCTACCACAATGATGACAAGGGATCATGCAGCCTCTACTTGAAGACACCCAGTGAGGTGTTATTCACCATGCCTTCCCCCTGTTCCACCACTGCCAATAAGTCTTCTCCTGGTTAAAATTCCACAACTTCTTCAATCAATTGAAGCCCTTCTTTGGACATGCTCTTATTTAATCCTCCACCTTCTGACATCAGTATACCTAAGGTAGGATTGGATAGTGCAGAAAGGAAACTTGTCCCAAACTACATGTTGGCCTTTCAGAAATCTTTACTTCTACACATTCACCATAACACAACAGAAATGTTTCTGAAAGTTTTTGTGGAAATGGAATTTTTATAAATTTAGTCATTTAGGTACATGAAAGGACCTTGCCTTTAAAGAAGTGCTGTGGTAAATCTCTTTAATTTATCTGTCTTATAAATCCTAGTTTACTTATCAAGTTTCCTTCAAGTGAGCTGTGCTTGGACCTTTGATCCTGACTTAATATTCCCAAGGCAGTAAGGATTTTTGATGAAATTTGGGCAAATTTAATTTCTTAGAAATAGTTCTTTTCTCAGCCTTTATTTTATCATCAACAGATAACAGTGAATCAACTGCTAGGGAGAAATTTTTTTTTCAGATTACTAGATGAGAAGCTAAAGCACTTATCTGTTTACTTTGTGAATTTATTCCTTGAAAAATATTGGCCTTAAAGAAATGGGTTTTTTTGGCAGAGTGCTTTGGGGTTGTTAAAAATCACTATGCAATTTCCCAGATGCGATCCAGCCCTATTTCTCCTACTATCCACTTCTGGCCCAGTTCATTGTCCATCTCTAGATATATGCCTAACCTAAATTATTCTCATTGAATATTTAAGAATATTTTTATAAGAATATTTTTTGAAATCATCTTAATGTTTGAAGGGAAACAATTATTTAGTAAATCAGGACTATCCATTTGATTAATTCAGGTAATTCAAGCTATCCTCCAACATTCTTCCTAGGTTACCCAGATAATGTTGTGATACTAGAAATGTTCTGCTTTCATAGCTGATTTGACAGCAACCAGCTCTCCATACTTCCATTCCCACATTATTACTTTCAGCAAATCACAGAATTTTAAAGTTGGACGTGGCCTTGGTGGCCATCTACTGCAGTCATAAGAGAAAATCTCCACTATAACATACCTGGTAAGTAGTCATGTAGGCTCTGCTTGGAACCTCTAATGAAGTGGAATCCATGACCTTCTCATTCTACTTTTGGACAAAATTAACTATTGGGAAAGTTTTTCCATATGTTATTTCTAAATTTTCCACTTTCAGCTTCCATCCATTATTCCTGGTTCTGCCCTAGTGGCCAAACAGAACAAATCTATTTTTTTTTTGACTAGGCAATGGGGTTAAGTGACTTGCCCAGGGTCACACAGCTAGAAAGTGTCATGTGTCTGAGGTCATATTTGAACTCAGGTCCTCCAGACTTCAGGGCTGGTGCTATATCTACTGCTCCACCTAGCTGCCCCAAACAGAACAAACTAAATCCCTTTTCCACAGGTTAGGCCTTCAAATATTTAAACTTGGCTATCATGCCCCCTACCCATAATCTTCTTTCCTCTGAGCTAAATGTCCCCAGTTCTTTTTCACTCATCTTCATGTGAAATGGATTCAAGCTCCTTCATAATCCAAGTTTCCCTTCTCCAGATGCTCTTTAGCTTATCAGTCTTGTTCCTAAATTGTAGGACTCTTTATTTATTATGCTCTGAATGCAGGCCCTGAATTGTTCAGTGTTTTCTGGAATTGAGAATTTAGGACTGATATAAGATTCCATTATTAGATTTCCCTGGTTTATTTTCCATGAAGAGAAAGTGTCATGAATTCTGATTTTCAAAAACAGATATTTTCAGACTATGTATCCTGCATAGGTAGCATGACTTGTGAATAAAGAGCTGGCCTTGAGTCAGGAAAATCTAGGTTCAAGTCCTGCCTCAGACACATATTGGCTGTGTGACCCTTGACACAGTCACTTAATCGCTTGCTGTCCTAGGTGACTCTTAGAAACAATAAAGAAAAGCAAAGAAAGCATCTACCCTACATGACTAGGAGTTTCCCATCTTGGGTTATGTGTCACTTGACTCTCACCACTACAACTGTCTCTTATCTTTGTGTGGATCCATGTCCAGAGTCCCACTGGGATGTTGCCAGCTGTGCCATCTTCCTACTCCTTTGCAGCCCTATTCCATCCATTGGAGAGCATCAGTGATGAATGGTGGGTTAGTAAATAGTCTTATTAAGCTTAGAAGCTGATATATAGTGTGATTTAGTCTTCAGAATAAAGCCTCTGCCTTAGTATCCAGTAGTGTGACTTCATGAACATATTTTATAAATGTTAAGAGTCTGTGTACCAATTTATTAAGAGTCATTTATCACTAGAAAGTCCTAATTCAAGCTGTTACTTTCAGTTAATAAAAGAGCTGCCTTGGGAGCCCATTTCTTAAAAAAAAAAATTGGACCACCATTGTGGTGGCATGTAATCTCCATTCACAAGTGCACGA